GAATCTTTCCATACTCTGAGGGCAGAGTTTATTTTACTCTAACACAAAAAGATAATTAGATATTCTTGAGGTGTTTTATTTTAATCTAATGAATACGATTGCAAATGAATAAATCGCAGTGCAATAGATCAGAAGACGGCAGCATTTAAAATATGCATCGGAAAAGCGAAATGAACCGCAGACACACAAAATTAAGTGTTAATGACTGCGTGACGTCAGTTATATAGATCTTTATTCGATCGTTCTTGAATAAGATTCCGTATTTTTAGGGCAGCGGATACAATTATTTAAAAGATAGGATCGAATTTAACTTTCAAATCATTATAAAGCTTTTTCATCTGTTTTGTTCGTGACTGACCTGTAAGATAGCTTTATACAGCTATATGTATGTTTGTATGTAAACAACCTAAATTGAGACAGTGTAGTTTATAAATATTTTAAGAGGTCATTTATTTAAGTACTTAAACCACCGCAAGAATATGTAATGTCAAAATCTTTATGTCTAAGAGTAGCATCTCGTCCTAAAGAATAGGGGATGTAAATATTTTGACCGGCCGCGGAGTACGGAACATTAACTTTGAACGATTCCCGGGCGATTGAATGAAGACCTGTATAACTGACGTCACGCAGTCACGAACACCTTAGGTTGTCTGTGTAACGAAGGCCATTTTTATTTGTTATTTGCGTGACGTTCAATACCCTTTTGTTTTGTTTTGTGTGACATACCTTCGAATTGTCGGCATTATGTTTCATTCGGCCACGAGACAGGTGTTAGTCGCAAGCATAACCAGATCGAAGGATTATCTAAATTATAGAATAATAGAACAGGGGAAGAGGTATGTCATCCTATTTATTCTTGTATTTATAAACCGAAACGCGTCTAATCAAAGGTAGTTTTGTTTCGCTTTAGATATTTGTGTTGTTTTGATTTATCTATATGCACGCCCCGCGTGTTCGAGTTGAGGACATTTCGATTAGCGTTTCTTGTATGGTAGTGGGCTATTTTAATTTATTGTATTTCAGTTTTCACGAGCTTTCCAGTGATTAATAAACCAGTTGAGACTGATAGACGCTTAGAGGTTCCGTTAATATAAGACATTTCCCCGACGCGGCGTTGTTTAAGTTTGATTTGATTTATGTCAGCGTCAGCCCCATTACAGTCTGTCTGCGACTCATTTCGCTTTTCCGATGCATATTGTTCGATCCTCTTTTCCTGATGCAAATCAAAACTAACTAACATTATTAATACGGAAAACAGTTTGTATACTTACAATTTGCTAACAAGAGCAGATTTTTCTCAAAACAGGCAAAAGACAGATCGACCTACTTCCCAAGGAAATGTACTCTGTGGCGCCAGCAAAAAACTCCGTGGATGATGCTGTTGATCCTGCGAAGAGAACAAGAGCCATGAATATCAGCACAACATTAAAACATTGGTAAGGGACTGTTGATTATTACTGCCGGATGGGAAGGGGGTTAAATTTACCTGATTCCCCCAGAAGGCTTTGTGACACTCCTCGCTGGCTGTTAAATGGCAGTGTATTTTCTTTAGTCCCCTTTATACTGTGTTTGCAACCACTGATCCCCTTTCCGTTCCCATTGCAAACATTGTGATCCCCCAATAATACTCCTCTCCTCCCCCAGGTGATAGAGGGGTGGGGGTTCCTGGTCCCTAAAGGAGTACACTTACTACTGTATTCCCAAAAACCTGGGAATGTCAGCTGGAATAACAAGCACTCTATTACAGTACTGTGACTGTTCCCTTATGAAATGGTAACTGCAGATTAGGAAAAAAATCCTGCTCATGGAAGCTTACTTGTGGGAGTCTTATGTGTTGTCAGTGGTCAGGCACCATTTAAGGTCTAAGACTAAAGTTACAATGTTATGTATCTGACACAGACAAACCAGGTGCACCCTTTGAAATCCATTCAACCTTTCTCAACTATTGAGCTGAATTCTGAAAAATAAGACAGGAAATCAATTCCAATAGTTGTATTTTGTATCCTACATAAGATTCATTCTTGATCTTCATATACCATCTATGATACAACTGATTGGTAACAATCAGAATCCTCTCTTTCCTCTGTTTCTGCACAAGTTATGAGAATACATGGTACTACGATAACTCGTCTTTATAACCTAAATCATCTTCCTTTCACAAATCAGTCTTTAATAAAAGGAAACACTCTAGTCTAATAACTTTAACAACCCTTAGTTACAGAGACACACTTCTAGTTTCACATTCAGATAATCAAGACTCAATATTCCAACTTAACCTTGAACAGTGAAGAGGAAGTGATTTTTTTATATTGGGAGTGAAAGGGTTAAGGCAATCCAAGAATTTAATTAAATAAGTATTTTAAATGGAATATAAGGTATCCCTCTCCAAGATTTTAATACAAATAATATTAAAGAATAAATAGGGAAAAACTGAAATTATTGCTTTTCGAAGGTTTTCATGTGTTAGAAATGCTAGTGTAAAATACTCCTTTTTCACTTGTATTGTTTTCCTGTTTCCTAATGATGCACTTGCCATCTTTTAACCTTTTACATCTGTACATTGGTGTTCATATTCTTCACACTGTTCTCTGTATATTTCCTATGGTGATGACAAGGAGAATTTATGTGGCAATCATAAACTTCTTGAATTGGTGATCATTTCCTTAATTTTCATCACCTTTATTTGTTGGAGTTGATACTGTAAGGAGAAATTAGATGCTAATCACTCTTAGGTGTCAAAGGATTAAACATAAGTATTAGCAATTACATATAGTATGTGCTTTACGTTGTTTTAAGGCAGCACTCTATAAGCCTTATTCTAACTCTGAGTTTAGATTACAGCAGTTGAGGTATTGTTTTTGTAAACGGCATTCGAAGCGCTGATTACAGTAGAAGCGATGTCCACAGTAGTACAAGACTTGTTTGACAAAGAAACTCGATAAAATACGTATTAAAAGTTTGATCTGACTCCGTTCACATTTGATACTAAATGAAAAAGCTATAATAGAGATGTTGATAAATGTTCAAGAACTTGTCTGTTGTTATTTTTGGTCAGCGGTACAATGATGGTCCTCCTCCGCTGTGTATCCGTCTACAAGGGCAGGTTTTGAATAATATCGCTTTTGCATTGATAGTCAGCATGTTTGCAAAATGCTTGGTTTTTGGCGGATCGTTTTTCTTCATTCTGCTGACCCTCGTCTTGGTTTTTTTTCCTTTGTTCAATTTGACCCTGTCGATTTGTGCACTTCATACCTCCCTAATAGCAAGCGTCCCGAAAGAGGTTTGCCATCTCTCTACGCCACGGCTTGCAAATGGAGATGAATATCGTCCTTCGCTGGAATCGTTTCTGCAAGCATCGAAAACTGATGCGGACCAAGATCCTCGCTTGAGTGGCTTAGCAGTGGTTTCCAAACTGGCCAATGCACGTCAACCTCTAGTTGGTGTAAGCAAGTCAAGAATACATGATACAGCGACATTTTCGTGTGGAGATCTAGCACTTAATGCACAGAACGCCGGATACTCTGTGGTGACATATTTTGGCGACGGATATTGTGGACCAGATAGAAATGTAACAAAACCTCACACGCAAGAGGAGGTATTGATTCCCATTGTGTTCGTTCAGATTTGTGTCAAGTACACCACTTCACACTCTTTCCAAGTTATTAATGACTCTAATTTTCTTAAAGCCGCAGACAAAGCAGTTGAAAATATCATAGCAACTGAACCAGGGTCTGATGAGCTCTGTCAGATGGCAGAATACCTAAAGAGACTTTACTACTGGTTTCTATTGGGTCCAATTATCACGCTGGAATGGCTCAGACGAAAGAAGAAACTCTGTTGTGTGACGATATCACAACAAGTCCATGACGAATCTGCAGCTGGCAACGAGGAAAATGCGCGGTTAGTGACAAGAGTTGAGGAGGGTCAGGAACAGAACATACAAGACATCACCGGTGAGGAAATTGAAAGTGAGTCACAACCTCTAATCATAACAATAGACACAGACACTGATGTAACATTTGACCAATGGGCAGAATTATGGTTTGTGTGGCAAGAAGATTTGGAAGAAGCATCCGCTACCTCGTAGTTGGTCTTGGTTACGTGCTTCTCACCCTGGCAGAGCTCCCTGTATGTATATCAAGTGGGGGATGGGTTTTTTTCCGCTTTGATGAACAAGAAAGTGTCACGCTAGATAATGTTTGTAACGTTCTTGTACCCAACAAGGCAAACGCTTTATTATATTCAGAACGTCGGATTTCATATATCCTCGCCGTCTGGTGGCCATTGTTTCAAATCTTTTGTTTTTTCGAGTACAGTAGGTTTAGTTGTGTGAGCACTTGGACCGTTTTGACAAACGGTTCAAAGTTGATTCGAAGTGACTGATTTTCATCCAACATATATTTGCTCGTTTTAGGCCCAATCGTACCATTCTGTTCCATCAGCGCCTACCCTCAGCAGTTTTTCTATTTTATGGTTCATCCTCAACAAACACAAAGTTGTCACAAGGTATGTGTTCTACATCAGTGTGTGTATGATCTGTGCTTATGTTGAGAGTGACATAGTAGCTGTGTTTTATTTCATTCTCAATTCTCAAGGCTCCCTGAACAACTTAGAACTCACTGCTCTTCGCACTGCAGCACTTGGCCTCACTTTGACCCTGAGTTTCAGTTCTTCAATGCGCATAATCCGCAAAATTATGAAGCCACAGGAGTCCTTGTTTGAGGGACTGGCAGAGAAATGAATTATCACGTTTACCATCTTAAACTTGCGTCACAAAAAGGTGCAGCAATTACGAGATTTGATAGTAAGGTTGTCAAAAGTTTGGGTCTAATTTTTTTTCAGAAAATGAAATGTTTGGAAAGGCCTGCCATCGGGTAATGCAGCCTTCTTCTTACAGAATTTTGTTTAGAGAAAGTGTAAAATCATCTCATTGTTTCTTTGCTGCCGATTGTAGATTGGATCTTGATATGAAATGATCAGAAGAGGAAAAAACAAATGAAAAAGCTAAGGTAGAAAAGTTATTAGTTCGAGTAAAAGTCGATAAAAGTCGTGTGCGGTAAAAGGTTACCACAATACCCTAAAACAGTTTCCAATCCTCATCTTTCTCAGAGGTAGAATATCGACATGAACCGTATTTACTTGCTCTGGGTTCTGTAATTGTTTCTACAGTTGGGGCTTTAGTACAACTGACACATTAACTAGAGCACAAGAACGGATTGCTAGTTTATTGCTGGTACAGGCTAGCTTTAATTTATATCAGTCTGCAATGATTCTTAGTTCCCCGATTTAGTGCAAACATGATAAGTGTCTGGTAATATAATTATGGCTAAAATAAGAAATGATCAGGCCATGGTTACCATTTCAGTGGCTTCATTTCCAATTTGCTGCCTAGCACGAGTCAACACTAGTTTCAGAGACTTCCTGTAGTATGGCAGTCTCCAAGCGTAAACGAATGCGTCAGAAGCTACCTTAATAAATAACATTTCGTCTGCAATTGTAATGGCAGCAGAGAGATGAAGCGTGTCTTGTGGCGTCTCCAGTTCTGTGTAAAACCAGATATTAAGTGTTATGATATGAGCAAGTGTGCAAGCTATTAGTATTGCTGATAAAAGCAAAGTTGCCACCGTAAGTTGTCTCAAGCCTTCATCGTCTTCATTTTGGCGAGATTCTTTGGCAAATCGGCGAAGTGACCTCAGAAGTATAGCAGAACCGACGAAAAGCAAGACTGTTATGACTGTGGCATGGAAATGGAGATCTATCTGAAGGAGGCTTCTTCGGGGGACTCCGATGAATTGCAGAAGAGTGAAACCTGTGAAGTACAGCATCGAGACACCAACAAATACGAGGATCCTGCGCGTTGTAATGGCCGAGCGGTAACGTTGTGGTTGAGTTATGGCAAGGAACTGTGACCAAATGAGAGCGAGAACGAGCAAGAATGACAAGTTGAGGCCTACGGTGGAAATAGAACTTCCAGTTCTTAGCAGTCTTACATATAATCGGCCTGGATACAGTGACCATTTCAAATAACATGCTAGGCGGTAAGTAACGAAGAGAGGCTCGATAACAAGACCGGTTGTGAAATCAACACAGGCTAAAGCGATGATGAGATACGAAGCTGGTGTACGGAAGCATTTGAGAGGATCTTTGTAAATAGTCAGTAATAACAGGAGGTTACTAATGACTGTTATCGGCGACAGAATCACCAGGGAGATCCCTGTGGCGAGCTGGGTGTATAGATAAAACCTTCCGTCGACGAAAGAAGAATTTGATGTTGCGCTGATATTCATGACTCTTGTCGTCTTCGCAGGATCAACAGCTTCATCCAAGGAATTCTTTTAAGCTGGCGCCTGCATGGGGCGCATTCCTTTGGGATGTTGATCGATCTGTCTCAGCCGAGTTTTCAAACAATTGTGCTCTTTTAAACTCGCTAATTGTAAGCATACGTAAAGTCCTTCCGTACTGGTAATATGAGCTAGTTTTGAATTACATCAGGAAAAGCGGATGGACTGGAAGACAGCGGCATTTGAAGTATGCATTGGAAAGGCGAAATGAACCGCAGACAGACAACCTTAAGTGTTCGTGGGTGCGTGATGTCAGTTATTTAGATCTTTGTACAATTCTTCTTGAATAAGATTCTATACTCTGAGGGCAGCCAGACTATTTTCATTCTAATTTACTTTAACACACAAAAGTATTACCGAGCAACTCTAAAATATTATTAATTACTTATTCTTGCGGTGTGTTAATTTTACTTTTATGACCTCCATTGCAGTGAACAAATTGTAAAGCATATTAATGAGTATTCACTTCGTTATTCGCTTGATGATACACATATTTCAATGCCTTGTATAAGTGACATTTTCCTTTTCCTTCTGATTCATCAACATCTCCAATCAAGCAAGTCTATTGCTACTGCCCGTTATTCGATACAGAGCTGGCTTCACGCTAAATGGAAGAGAAAATGTTTACGACTTTCACATGCTGCCTCAGATCAAACAGGCATTGAAAGACGATATTTAATGTGTCTGAATTAGATAAGCGTATTTATTCATGAGCTATTCATGAACTTCAACAACCGTAAATTATATTTTTGTCAGACGTGTAAATCAAGTGAGGCTAGGTATGCTACGGTAATTTGGTTTAGTTTTCCGAGCTCTCGCCCATCTACGGCCTCGTCAGGGAATCTATGCTTCTTATCTTTGAAGCTATTTTTGGTTTTTTATTGTCCTATTTTCTTATTGTCCTTTGGGTGAAATTAAAAAAAGGCGATCCCAAACGAAAGGTTTATACTCATAGCATCGAAAGTAAACCATAAAAAATAATTCGATTTCGACACGGCCTTAAAATTGCGATCGTGTCTAACCTTTTGAAAGTAAATCAACTTCTCAGATACGGGTTTATCAACTGAATCCACTTTGCAGATACGTAACTCGTTCACGGTCCAGTGCTCAGGACGAAATACGCCATCCAATTCAGACACATTGAATATTCGTCTTTCAAAGTCCCTTTGATCTGGATCAGCAGTGAAAGTCACAACTACTTTCGAGTGTGAAAGCTAACTGTGTTTTGATATTCTTCGGGCATTTTGAGATGTCGAACATGTGGATAGTGATTGGAAGCTCTGTTTTTTTTGCAGTTTTCCTGTTTAGTGTTTGGGTTGTCATTACCAAGCCTAATTCAGTTCTTGAGCTTGAGGAGAACGGGTCATCTGATAGCAGTTTATCGTTCTCTGAACACCCGAACATGGTTTGCACTTTACAAGGATTTGACTCATTTGAAGCCGCTCCCTCATTGGAGTCTTTTGTGAAGGCTTTATCAACGGAATGGGACCGAGATCTCACTTTCAGTGGCTTGGCAATAGTTTCAAAACTGGCCAATGCTTGTCAATCACTAGTTGATGTGGGGAAGGCTCGGAGTTCAAGTCAACAAAATTGTACTTATCGCGATAAAGGAGGATTTTGCCACAACATGTTCGTTGTGCGAGCTAATAGTAAAAGTGCAGCACACTGGATACTCTATGATGATATTTTCTTCCAATCCATGGCTGCTCGAGAGAAATTGTAGCGTAAAAACGGCGGATAAGCTACTAATTCCTGTTGTCTATGGCGACCATTGTCAAAATTCGACACGCTTTAACGAAAAGATTGAAATGTATTCTATATTTTCAGCTGCAGACCAAACAGATGTTCATGTGAGAGTTTCAGAAGTCTCACATGATCTCAAAACGATGGCAAAGTATTTGGAGAAACTTTACTTTTGGTTTCTCTTGGGTCCAATTATCACATTGGAATGGCTCCGACGAAAAAGAAAGCTCTGTTGGGCGACAACGGCGCTAGTTGACGAGGAGTCTGGTAACGAAGAAATAGTTGAGGAGAGTCGAAGACATTATCTCCAACTCGGGACAAATGCGTATATTGAAGGTGAATTGCGACCCCTAAACTGCGCTACGAGTAACACTCGAACTGATTGTGAATTGACAATAGGTGACAACATGCGTACTTTAAGAATTACAGTGCAAAGTTTAAAGAGGGTCTTTCGAAGAATTATTTGCCACCTACCAGTTGGTCTTGGTTATGTGGTTCTCACTCTGGTAGCGCTCCCTGTAGGTATATCAAGTGGGGGATTATCTTTTTTTCGATTTGATGAGAATGAAGAAAAGCGCCAAAATAATTTCTGGGATGTTCTTCTCCCAGGAAAGTCAGCGCCTCTGATATCGTACTTTGTCACTGTATATTGGCCAGTCGTTCAAATCTTTAGTTTTCTCATGTTCAGTAGGTTCGCTTGCAAGAGAAGCTGGACTGTTTCAACGAACCTTTCAAAGGTTATCAGAAGTGATTGGTTTTCATCCAACATGTATTTGCTTGTTCTTTGCGTGATCATACCGTATTGTACGTATGGGTCCAAAAAACAAATATGGAATAATTCACACGTTGATTGGCAGTTTTTCTATTTTACAGTGTGCAATGTTATGTGCACGGTTTCTAATTTTCTTTTTATAATCATCCTCAACAAACACAAAGTTGTCACAAGGTATGTGTTCTACATCAGTGTGTGTATGATCTGTGCCTATGTTGAAAGTGACATAGTAGCTGTGTTTTATTTCATCCTCAATTCTCAAGGCTCCCTAAACAACTTAAAATTCACTGTTCTTCGCACTGGAGCACTTGGCCTCACTTTGACTCTGAGTTTCAGTTCTTCAATGCACATAATCCGCAAACTTATGAAGCCACAGGAGTCTGTATTCGAGGGACTGTCAGAGAAGTGAGTCACGGTTTTTCATTGGGATTAGGTAAGCAGAATCTCTTGCCATCCTTCAGTACCAGTTTTCAAATAACCTACGTGACAAAGCTTAACGTGAGCTAGAGCAAAAATTCCATTGTTCTTTCCAGAAAATAGAACTTTGCCGAAACTGAGTCGTGTTATTGAGCAGTGTTATGCCACTTTTGTACAGCCTCGTCAAGAAAAGAGCATCGAAATTCTTTGAGTAGCTGTTAACAGCTGTAATTTAGAACAGTGCCGTTACCAACCAAAAATTGGTATAGCTAATTTTGGTGAAAAATACAAAGGATTTGTAAACTTGGTAATACATGGTAGCGCCATTTAGAATCTTCAACATTTCACTGAAATGTGTAAATGATAATTGAGAAAATTACTCATATATTAACTTATCCAGTAGTAGTATATTTCTTCTATGTTAGCTTTTGACGGAAATTTTAAACAACGTACCGAAATATCACATTTTTGTTAGGATTGATATCATCAAATGATTATATAACAATATGGAAAACCAGTAATTCCAGATGGAATCCTTTAGTTCAAACGTTTTCCTGAAATAGAAGACAAATGCCTCAGAAAATCTCGCAAAATCTAGCTGGTTTGGAACCTTGTTCTTCATCAATAATCAAACAATTGACTCGGTAATTTTTTTTCCTATTAAGTCGAAAACATTATAGGAATATTGTGTTGGAATCGTTAGAAATGGTGCTTGGGACAAATGTGTCTTATAAATTTTTTGTTCTTTATTTGCATCATGATATTTTAAATTGTGTGAGTGTCTTATGTGATAGCAATGCTTACCAACTAAATAATTGGTACAAGTAATTTTGGTAGAATGTACGATGGATATGTAATCTTGGTATTATATGGTATCCCTCTTTAGAATTTTCATCATTTCACTGTGAATAAGAAAAACCGTGAAAATTACCCATTTATAAAGTTATAGAGGTAGCTTTCATAGAAAATGCTGATAGACCAGTCGCAATGTGACAGGAATATTCTATATCAGAACCTATTATTTTTTCTCAGTTTGACTTTGAATTGTTAGCTTTTGACTATAAATCTTAATAATTTAGCAACATGTCATTTATTTTTATGACTGATGTCAAGTGATGATTATATCACAATTGATTACTTACTGATTAGCCTCTTTTGGTAAAAGAAAAATGTATCTTTGTTAATTTCGACGGAATTAAAAGTTATGTGTTTTTTGTCATTGTACCCCATGAATCTGTTGCTGGCTCTATTGTTTGTTCTGATACAATTTATTGTACTCCCACCCTTACTGAGCTTTGTTTGTCTTCAGTTGACGTGAAACATAAAGTGCCAAAATATTTACTATTGCAAGTTTCCAGACTTTGATATAATGGCACTTAATAAATTTATATGAACTATTTTCTGTTGATATAATACCCCAAGAGTAGGCATAATTGCAGCTTTGAGGACATGTGACTAACAACCGAATAAAACCTTTTTATTAAAACTGACGTGTGAGTTAAAAAGGTTGAAAACATGTTTTGACTGAGAGAAGGTGAAAAAAGGAATTCGAAAGAGAGAATTCGGGAGAACTACTTCAAAATGCCATCTGATAACAAACATCTCCTGAACATCATGCTGATATCTCCCAGTTGAGCCGTCGTCTAGATCATAATGAAACATCGGAAAATCCAATTTGACAATACCGAACCGAGAATCGTACTTAACCTCTGTTTTCATCTATACATCAAAAAACAGCCTTTGAATACTCAAAAGATACTTTACAATTACAATTTCAGCTTCAATTTTTAGATTCTACTTAATCAGAGTCAGATGATTGAAATAAAGTGTCACGCATTCTGTTTAGCACATACAAGAAAACCAGGAGCGGCTTCTTACACATGTCGGGAAAAAGCTTTGTGACAATTAGCTGCTTCTGCTTCTCCACGTTAACCACCTTTTCAAAAAAGTTCGGTTGGAAAACCAACGGTTTCTAGTCGTAATAAAGGGGGTAAGTCTCTAAAGAAACCGTGGTGCTGCGTCTGTGGAAGGGTATGACAGGGTAATTTATGTTTATCTTATTTAGAGTTGTTGCCCTTCGTCAGAGCGATTGAATCGCTCTGGCGAGCTCGAAACTTCAGCTCTTTTAAAGGTGTTCGTGAGTGCGTGACGTCAGTTATACAGATATTTATTCAATCGTTCTTGAATAAGATTCCGTATTCTAAGGGCAACCAGACTATTTTGATTTTTTTTTAACTCTTAGGTACAAAGATATTGCCAAGCAACTCTAAGCAGTTACTGCTGCGTCAGTCAACTTATCATGAGAATTCAGTGCAAAGTAATGTACTGCCACTACGTTACTATCAACATAAACACAAATCATACAAGCAATAATGAAGAACACAAAACTTGTGTCATCTTGGTACTTGTTAAGAAGGATGATGATACAAAGACAATTACAGACTGTACTAATTGTGTTGTAAATAGAAAAATAGTTAAATTGACCTGTAAAAAGACAATTCTCTTCGTTAACCGTGGAGTTATATGGTTCCACAAAGCACAAAGTAGATCATTTTCAATGCAAACCAGTCACTTTAATTTGGATCAGCTTTGGAAAGTTTGCATGACCCCTCCAGGTAGCCTCACAGGCAAGCCGACTGTACATAAGGAAACACAATGCTTGAAGAGGCGACCGCCATAGACACTCAAAAAATGCTTTTCCTTTCGGGTCAGATCTGAGGTCATCCCAGAATTTCTTCTCCTTCATTAAATCGAAAGTGGGAGAATCCTGCGCTGGATATTCACACGGGAACTGTTACTGCTACGAGGATCACGCAATTAAAGTAGAGAGCCACTTCTGCGACGCTGAAGTTCACCAATGAGCTCGCTAATCGGCTTGCAGCAGCCAGAAAACTACTGCTTACAGTTGCTATATCACCTCTCGTCAACTTTCTGATAAAAAGTCACGTAACAGTCAAGTTTGTTCGTTCGTCTGTGTCAAAAAAGCGTGATTTTCGGGCCCAGATAAAACCGACTCGACAAGGCAATTATCCGAATACAATGTAATGTAAATGAGATTCGGTTTTTCTGATAACCAACGACAAACTGCATATTTCGATCAATTTGTGCTGTTTGACACCTTATGTTTCCCTTGCTCAAGACGACTGTTTTTGGCTAATTTATAATCGCATGAGCCTGATTATATTACAATGTATCCCGCTGGGGATACAATTTGGACAGGATGTCAAAGTTGAATCACGAGGAGAATACATTTAATGAATGCGATCAACGTCTAAGTTTTTCACGTGATTAGAATGTGACTGGGACCGGTGGTGTAATTATACGTGTAATTTTTTTAAACTCTCCCTCCTTGAACTTTTCGGCGCGATTCCAGACAGTATTAAGGTTGATTTGTTGCTTGTTCTCCACTAGCTCTGGAAAAACACAGTGGAACGGTCTGTGGTCGAAAAATAACTCGTTTCTTTTTATCGAAAGAAATGAAAAAAAAAAAAAAAATTGGTGGAGCTGAAGGACTCCGAAATTACGGTAGGTCAAAGGTACATCTGCAGTGTTTACAAGAAATAAATATGCTCTGCTATGAACGCTCATCGTTTTCTTGTCTACCATGTTCGTCCTCTGGATGTATAACAAAGCACTTAATGCCGGCTTGAACTCTCGAGAAACAGTTAGTTTTGTTTTCCCTCGAGTCTCAATGTTTACCTCGACTTCGTCTCGGGGATATTGAGACCCCTGGCAAAAGAAAACTAACTGTTTCCCTCAGAAGCAGACGTTAAGAGAATAACAATCGATTAATTATGGCTGATTGCTTCTGGAGACTCATCGTTATAAGTATCGGAACGTTTGAAAAAGGCCTCTCTAAGTTTCTAGTTTTAATCACTAAAAGCTGGAACTAAAACAGGAGTTAATTAGAACTTAGAGAGATAAGAGACTGTTTGCTAGAAATGGCAGCTAATTAAATCGTCTTATTTGTACAAGGTATGCAAATAACAGATGTCTTCTCCTGGTGCCAACATTATTCTAGACTTCATTTTCCTTACAAGGTGACACTGTAACAATCGTAAACTAGAATTTTTGTCTTTGATGGTATTGTTGGTTTTGCGTCTTTGGGTGGAAACACCTTCAAGAAAAGCAGTCGCAGTAGAGTGATAGTAGATAGTGATAGTAACGAAGGTCAGATAAACCATTCAAAATATGTTTCGGTTTGAACACGACCTAGTGCTTGTAGTTCTGGCTAACCTAATTTGCTGTTGATGTCTTCAGAAAAGTAATTAGTGAAGCTGTCCTAAGGCTGTGAGGCTTATATACTAGCTAAGTGTCTAAGTGTCCACGACCTGGATGTCTGATAATGATAATTTTTCTTCAGGTGACGTGTTAGCATAATTATCTCGTAAACGACTCTGATGGAGACTGACAAAGAATAATCCTGAAAGTAAAACAACAAAGCAAACAAAGCTTCCAATCACTTTCCACTTTCTCGACATCTTTAAACGCCTCAAGGATGTTAGAACACAGTTGGCTCCACGCTCAATGGAAGGGAAAATGTTTTTGACTTTCACATGCTGCCCCGGATCAAACAGGCTTTGAAAGGCGGTATTAAACGTGTCTGAATTAGATGACCTATTTATTCATGAGCTATTCATGAACTTCAACAACTGTAAACGTTACTTTTTGTCTTTGATTTTTTTTTTTTTTTTTTATTGTCCTATTGTCTTTTGGGTGAAAGGCAGTCCCAAAGGAAAGGTTTATTTATACTCACAGTATCGAAAGTAAACCATAAATAATAGTTCAATTTCAACACGGCCTTAAAGTTGCGGTCATGTCTAACCTTTTGAAAGTAAATCAACTTTTCAGATACATTTCATTACGGCGCGGGGTTATCAACTGAATCCATTTTGCAGATCCGTGACTCATTCACGGTCCAGTGCTCGTGACGAAATATGTCATCCAACTAAGACACATTGAATACTCGTCTTTCAAAGTCCCTTCGGTCTGGGTCAGCAGTGATAGTGAAAGTCACAACTACTTTCGAGCGTAAAAGCTGGCCGTTGTTTTTTATATTCTTCAGGAGTTTTAAGATGTCGAATAAGTTGATAGTAATTGGAAGCTCTGTTTACTTCGTAGTTTTCCTGTTTAGTGTATGGGTTATCTTTACCTATCCTGATGTAATCATTGAGCTCAACAGCAAGGGGCCATCTGGAGAGAGTTTATCGTTCTCAAACAACCCGAAAGTGGTTTGCACTTTATCAGGATTTCCCTCACTTAAAGCTGCCCCCTTACTGAAATCTTTTGTGGGGGCTTTAACAACGGAAGGGAACCGAGATCTCACTTTCAGTGGCTTGGCGATAGTTTCAAAACTGGCTAATGCTTGTCAACCGTTAGTTAATGTTGGAAGGGCAAGAGTTCGAGTCAACAAAATCGCGCTTATCGCGATAAAGAAGGATTTTGCCACAACATGTTCGTTGTGCGAGCTGGCAGTAAGAGCGCAGCACGCTGGATACTCTATGGTGATATTGTCTTCCCGTCCATGGATGTTCAAGACAAACTGTGGCGTAAAAACGGCGGATAAGCTTCTAATTCCTGTTGTTCATGGCGTCCGTTGTCCAAATTCGTCTTACAATGTATATTCCGACGAAACTGAAATAATTTATTCTGTATTTTCAGCTGCAGACCTAACAGATGTTCATGTTAGAGTGAGAGTTTCAGCAGACTCAGATGATCTCGAAACGATGGCAACGTATTTGGAGAAATTATACTTTTGGTTTCTCTTGGGTCCAATTATCACATTGGAATGGCTCCGACGAAAAAAAAAGCTCTGTTGGGCGACAACGGCGCCAGTTAACGAGGAGTCTGGTAACGAGGAAGTAGTTGAAGATAGTCGAGGACATTACATACAACTCGGGATACGTGGGGATAATGAAGGTGAATTACGACCTCTAATCCGCGTTACGAGTAATACTCGAACTGATTATGATATGACAATAAGTAATAACATGCGTATTTTAAGAATTATAGTGCGTATTGCGAAGGTCTTTCGAAGAATTATTCGCAACCTCCTAGTTGGTCTTGCTTACGTGCTTCTCACTCTAGCAGCGCTCCCTGTAGGTATATCAAGTGGGGGATGGTCTTTTTTTCGATTTGATGAAGGAGAAAGAGACAGGCAAGCTAACTTTTGGGACTCTATTCTACCCGACAACCACACTAAATCCTATTCAGGAAAAGCACCTCGGGTTTCATATATTCTCACTTTATGGTGGTCAGCTGTTCAAATCTTTTGTTTTTTCGTGTATAGCAGGTTCAATTGTGTGAGCACTTGGACCGTTTTGACAAACGTTTCAAAGTTGATTCGAAGTGAGTGGTTTTCATCCAACATGTATTTGCTCGTTTTAAGCGTAATCGTACCATACTGTTCCATCGTACCTATTTCTCCGCAGTTTTTCTATTTTACGGTTTACAATATGATGTGCACAGTTTGCAATTTCCTTTTTATTATCATCCTCAACAAACACAAAGTTGTCACAAGGTATGTGTTCTACATCAGTGTGTGTATGATCTGTGCTTATGTTGAAAGTGACATAGTAGCTGTGTTTTATTTCATCCTCAATTCTCAAGGTTCCCTGAACAACTTAAAACTCACTGCTCTTCGCACTGTAGCACTTGGCCTCACTTTGAACCTGAGTTTCAGTTCTTCAATGCACATAATCCGCAAACTTATGAGGCCACAGGAGTCTGTATTCGCGGGACTGTCAGAGAAGTGAGTCATGGTTTTTTAATTGTATTAGGTAAGCAGAATCTCTTGCCATCCTTCAGTACCAGTTTTCAAATAATCTACGTGACAAAGTTTAACGTGAGCTAGACCAAAAATTCCATTGGGTCTTTCTAGAAAATAGAACTTTTCCGAAACTGATTCGTGTTACCGAACAGTGTTATGCCACTTTTGTACAGCCTCGTCAAGAATAGAGCATTGGAATTCTTTGAGTAGCTGTTAACTGACAGCTGTAATTTAGAACATTGCCGTTACCAACCAAATAATTGGTATAGGTAATTTTGGTGAAATACACAAAGGATTTGTAAACTTGGTGATATGTGGTAGCGCTGTTTGCAATATTCAACATTTCACTGAAATGTGTAAATGATAACTGAGGAAATTACTCAGATATGAACTCATTCAGTACTAGTTTATTTCTTATATGTTAGCTCTTGACGGAAACCTGAAACAATGTACCGAAATATCACATTTTTTGTAAGGATTGATGTCATCAAATGATTATATCACATCATGGAAAACTAATAAGTCCATATAGGGTCCTCTAGTTCAAACCTTTTCCTGAAATAAAAGACAACAACCTTGTTCTTTATCAGTGATCAAACATTTTGACTCGGTAATTTTTTTCCCAGCTATTAAGTCGAAAACATTATAGGAATATTGTGTGTTGGAATCGTTAGAAATGGTGCTTGGGATAAAACTGTGTCTCATAAAATTTTTTTTTCTTTACTTGCATCATGATATTTTAAATTGTGTGAGTGTCTTATATGATAGCACTGCTCACCAGCTAAATAATTGGTAGAAGTGATTTTGGTAAAATGTACGTTGGATATGTAAACTTGGTATTATATGGTAGCCATGTTTAGATTTTTCATTATTTTACTGAACTGTTAATATGAAAACCGTAAAAATTACTCATTTATAAAGTTATACAGATTGAAGTCGCTTTTATAGAAAATGCCGTAAGACTAATCACAATGTGACAGGAATATTCTATATCAAAACCATTATTTTTTCTCAGTTTGACTCTGAATTGCTAGCTTTCGATTATAAATCTTAATAATTTAGCAACATGTCATTTATTTTTATGACTGATGTCAAGTAATGATTATATTACAATTGATTGGTTACTGACTAGTCTCTTTTGGTAAAAAAATGTACCTTTGTTTTATTATGACGTAATTGAAAGTTGTGTGTTTTTTGTCATTGTACCCCATGAATCTTTTGATTAAAAAAAATTAACAGAAAAAAAATTGTTGGCAAATTCGATTTTATGACAGGAGGATGGGTAGGCCCTGATGTGTTACTGAGTGAATGAATTTGCCTTTTAACATCTCTACTAACTAACGAGAGTCCTCCCTAAGAAAACTAGGGCTAAATCACAACTATTCCCAATGACAAAGATAAAAGCAACAAGGTGAAAAAAGATAATTTTTTTAAAGATATTTTTTCATTTTCAATTTTTTTTGGTATTTCTGAGAAACACAACATCTGAAAATATTGGAATAAACATCAGCAAAATGTTCTAAGTATGGGAAATATGGTACACCAAAAATATACTACAGGTATATTTTATTCCTTTCAAAACATTTACCCACCAAAAGGAGCGGCAGAACTCACAGGGGGAATTGGACTGGCAGCAGCAGAAGGAACTGAGGGGCCAGCAACTACACATTCAAACAAAAATATAATTTTCAATGAATAAATCAATTATCCTCAACATTTTTAGAATATTCCAGGTTATTCTATGGTATACGCAATCGAAATTATACCTGCTGTTCTAAATTTTGCAGGTTAAAAATACTTCACTCACCAGGAGCCATGAGCTCCTTTGTGGAAGCGCTAGCCACCTCCGGCCGCTCGTCATCTCCAACTTCCCCCTCGCTAAAAATATCAAATGTACAATATACAATATAAAATACTCAAAATTAACCAAATGAACAAGCGATACTGTTCTAAATCGCCAAATCGCCGAAGAATCAAGCAACCGACATAATTGAAAAATGCATTTCTCCATGGCAACAAATAGCAGCTGATCGAATTACGCGTCTAATTTCGCTTGTGCAAATAGATTGAATCGCATAGCATCTCTTCGCTAAAAACACACTCCTAGCATAAATTATTGATTTTCAGATTTTTGATTTTGAAATTTTGAAAATTTCTTTCGAAATTTTTTAGTTTTTAGTCAAGGTGGGAAATATTTTTGGGAGCCACGGTTTTAGCTAAAAATTTTCAAAAATGAAAAATTGAAGCGGTTTTTACAGATGATTCCGGGAAAGCAGTTGGCAAATTAAGTTAGGATGGCTCGTGTACTTTACATAAAATGTGGTTTGTGTTCTACTCATTCTTTCTTAAATTTAAGTGGTATAAATACCTTGTCTAAAACAGTAGTGTGATACAATAGTATAGAGATTTACTCGTTTCAATACAGCGTCATGTGATGAACAGCCTTCATTAATTTTAGAACAAGTTTTATAAAATCATTGTACTCTTTCTTGTGCCATCACTGCAAACAGTCAAGGTACTTCGACACGATTCAGTTCGAGAGCTACTGCCACTGGTTTGACTGGTAAGACGTTTTTTGGGTTTGTTTTGTTTTTTTCCCTTTTTAGGTCTAGTAGAGTTGTTAGAAATTACTAAGCAAAATCAATCCGCGACTTCCTTCCTTTATATGTTGTGCAAAAAACAGATGAAGAGCCCGATGAATGGATTTGTCCTTCATGTGAAAAATAACCTAAAAAACCAGTTTTCAACGAAAAAAACTCCCTCGATTGCGGCCAAGCCATATTTCTCTACCAGAGCATACTGTAAATTAATAACATCGGTCGCAGCGTCACGCAACATTGCGTGATTTTCCAAACGTGACATGCAGTTGCTGCATTATTTTAAGACTTAGAACCTACATGGCCCTGTAGTGATAAAAGAGGGCTTCATTTGCAAGCACTGTAGACTTCAACATAAGAAGAACTTAATAAATCGCTCTTTCAGTTTTCATATCAGTGTATAAATTATCTAGCCGGAGCGAAAAATAATTAATATACGCATGAGTTGGAGCCACTCCTATCTGAGGTTAAATACACGAATGGCTCCAGTCTCTGGTCGTCTGCCTAAACTGACTAAATGAGTTTTATCAGCGGAGCTTGTCAGCGGATGACTTTTTCATCGCCGGAATATCACTGAACGACCTCGCTGAACAAGATAGACTCTGCCTTCTCTTCGTTATGTAAGTAGCCATTTCTTGTTTGACTCATCGGTGTTTTCACATTGATATTTCATTTTTCCGCTTCGAGACACGCGGTTAGCAATACCCATGAGCAAGGAGTTAAGATGTAACTTATTAACTTTTACTATTTTTTATTATCCAATCACAGGTTGGAGCCATTCCTGTATTTAGTCGCTAGTGATCATTTCGTAATGGCCATTATTGACTTCTCACCTCGATCCCCAATTTCATTGTCCAGCTGCTGGTCCAGATCACTTTCTTCTCCACTGTCCATCCTATCACCGGAGTTTTCATCGTCAAATATCGTTTCCAAAGCCATTTCAGCGGAGATAAAGCACCCTTAGACTATGAGGCCATCTTCGACGGTGAAATTTTACCACTAAAATGAGTGTTGTGTAGTACACATTTAATTGTCGCCCTCCAAACTCGCTACATGATTTGTTTAACATTTCAACGTCATACACACCAAATTTGGAAAGAATCGAAGGTAACGCAATATTCTACGAGACTAGCGGAAATGATGGGTGGAATTCCACCCATAAGCGCGGGGGTTGCCGGGATAGGTAACCACTTGTTTTTATCTATACATCAAAAAACAGCCTTTGAATACTCAAAAGATACTTTACAATGACAATTTCAGCTTCAATTCTTAGATTCTACCTAATCAGAGTAATGATTGAAATAAAGTGTAACGCATTCTGTTCAGCACAGAAAAACGAGGAGCGGCTTCTTACACATTTCGGGAAAAAGCTTTGTGACAATTAGCTGCTTCTGTTTCTCCACGTTAACCACCTTTTCAAAATAGTTCGTTTGGAAAACCAGCGGTTTCTAGTCGTAATAAAGGAAGTAAGTTTCTAAAGAAACCGTGGTGCTGCGTCAGTGGAAGGGTATGACAGGGTAATTTATGTTTATCTAATTTAGAGTTGTCGCCCTTCGTCAGAGCGATTGAATCGCTCTGGCGAGCTCGAAACTTCAGCTCTTAAACTCTTTACGGTGGCCAGTTTTCGTTATCAACTCAGTTTGGTTACCTCGGAGGGGAGAATGCCCGACTTTATTGCGACAAGCAGGAGGTCTTCATTTTTATTGGATATCAGGCACTCAAGAGAGTGGTGATTATTACCGCCGAGGGGGGGTGGGCGGGGGGGGGGTAAACTTACCAGATCCCCACATAAGGTTTTGCAATATTCCTCACTGGCTTTTAAATTGCAGTTCATTTTTCCCTTTGCAAACCTTGTGATCCCCCCGCCCCCCCTCCCTAAAAAAATCCTCCTTCCCTAGGCGATAGGCGAGCTGACTGGTCCCTAAAATATTCTCAAAAACCTGAGATGTCAGCCGGGACAACAAGCGTTTTATTACAGTACTGTGACTGTTCCCTTATTAAATGGTAACTGCAGTATAGGAAGAACGAAAATACCGGCCATGTGAAGCATACTTGTGGGAGTCCTTATGTGTTATCAGTTGATTCTTTATTGGCACCGCTTAAGATCTAAGACTAAAGTTACAATGTTATGTATCCGACACAGACAAACCAGGTGCACCTCTTGAGATCCATTCGACCTCCTCAACTATAGAGCTATGTTCTGAAAAAATAAAACAGGAAATCAACTCTAATAGTTGTATTATGTAAACAAAAGATTCGTTCCTGATCTCCTTTTACCTTCCATAATACAACCGATAGGTAACGATCAGAAACCTCCCTTTCCCCTGTTTCTACACAAGTTATGAGGAATCACATGTTTCCGTATTTCTGAAACATGGCGGAAACATGCAACTCCATGTTTCCGTTATGT